TTGAATAGCAATGGGGAGAGTGGGCATCCCTATCTGATACCAGATCTCAGTGGCAATGCTTCCAACTTTTCCCCTTTCAATATGACGCTGGCCAAGAGTTTTTCATAAATTGCCTTGATTGTGTTGAGGAATGTTCCTTCCATACCCAATTTGTTTAGAATTATCATCATGAAAGGGTGTTGTATTTTATCAGATGCTTTCTCTGCATCTTTTGAGATAATCATATGATTTTTGTTCAGCAGTTTGTTAATGTGATGTATCACATTGATTGATTTGTGAATGTTGAGCCATCCCTGCCTACCAGGGATAAATCCCACTTGGTCTGGGTAGATAATCTTTCTGATATGTTATTGGATTAGATTTGCTAGACTTTCGTTGAGGATTTTTGCATCTTTTTCATCAGGGATATCGGTCTATAATTGTGTTTCTCTGTTGCATCTTTTTCAGGTTTAGGAATTAAGGTGATGCTGGCATTATAGAAAGAATTTGGGAAGATTCCCTCCCTTTCAGTTGTTTTGAATAACTTGAGAAGAATTGGAGTTAGTTCTTTAACTGTCTGGTAGAATTCAGCAGTAAAGCCATTTGGTCCTGGGCTTTTCTTTGTTGGGAGGGCCTTAATTACTAATTCAATTTCTGTCTTGGTTATGATTCTATTTGAGTTTTTTGTGTCATCATGGTTCAATTTAGGTAGGTTGCATGTGTCCATGAATCTATCCATTTCTTCTAGGTTTCTTAGTTTGCTGGCATTCAGTTCTTTGTGGTAATTTCTGATGATTCTTTTTATTTCTGTGGTATCTGTTGTTACATTTCCTTTTTCATCTTTAATTTTATTGATTTGGGTCTTCTCTCTCCTTTTTTTTGTTAGTTGTGCCAGTGGTGTGCCAATATTTTTTATTTTTTCAAAAACATAGCTCTTTTTTTTTTTTGCTGATCTTTTAGGTGTTTTTTATTCAGTTTTACTGATAGCTCATTTATGTGGTGCCTTTCCAATTTCTTGATGTAGGCACCTATAGCTATAAACTTTCCTCTTAACACTGCTTTTACTGTATCTCATAAGTTTTTATATGTTTTGTTGTCATCTTCATTTGTCCAGAAATGTTTTGATTTTTCTTTTGATGTCTTCTATGACCCACTGTTCGTTCAGGAGCATGTTGTTTAGTCTCCATGTGTTTGCATATGCTCTAGAGATTCCTGAGTTGCTAATTTCCAGCTTCATTCCATTGTGGTCCGAGAAGATGCATGGTATGATTTCAATTTTTTTTAATTTGCTGAGACTTACTTTATGGCCTAGTATGTGGTCAATCCTAGAGAAAGTTCCATGCACTTCTGAGAAGAATATATATTCGGCTTCTGTAGGATGAAAAGTTATATAGATATCTGTTAGGCCATTTGGTCTATAGTGTCAATTAAATCAACTGTCTCCTTGCTGTTTTTCTGTCTGGTTGATCTGTCCATTGCTGAAAGTGGAGTATTGAAGAGCCCCATTACTATTGTATTGGAGTTTATTTTCCCTTTAAATCCCTTAACATTCCTTTTAAATAGCCAGATGCCCTGTGATTAGGTACATAAACATTTATAATAGTTACATTTTCCTACTGAATTGGTCCCTTAATCATTACATAGCGCCCTTCTTTGTCTCTTTTAACAGTATTTGTGTTAAAGTCTGTTTTCTCTGATATTAGGATTGCTACACCAACTATTTTTGGTTTCTGTTGGTATGGAATATCTTTTTCCATTCTTTCATTTTCAGTCTATGTGCATCTTTGTGGGTCAGATGTGTTTCTTGTAGGCAGCAAGTTGATGAGTTTTGTCTTTTTTCCATTCAACCAGTCTGTATCTTTTAACTGGAGAGTTGAGACCATTTACATTCAAGATAACTATTGATAAGTAACGACTTTGCCCTGTCATTTTTCCAAAAATAATTCTGTTTTTTACTTTGAATTTCCTTTGAATTTTTACTTATTTTCTTCCTTAACCTTCTTGTGTAGTGATGACCATTTTCTGTGTTTCTATGTGTAATACATCCTTAAGCATCCTTTTTTTTAAAGATTTATTTGAAAGAGTTACACAGAGAGAGGAGAGGCAGAGAGAGAGAGAGATCTTCTCATCTGATGGTTCGCTCCCCAATTGGCTGCAATGGCCGGAGCTGTGCCGATCCGAAGCCAGAAGCCAGGAGGCTCCTCCAGGTCTGCCACACAGGCGCAGGGGCCCAAGGACTTGGGCCATCTTCCACTGCCTTTTTTTTTTTTTTTTTTGACAGGCAGAGTGGACAGTGAGAGAGAGAGACAGAGAGAAAGGTCTTTCTTTGCTGTTGGTTCACTCTCCAATGGCTGGCGTGGCCGGCGCACTGCAGCCAGCGCACCTCGCTGATCCGAACGCAGGAGCCAGGTGTTTCTCTTGGTCTTCCATGGGGTGCAGGGCCCAAGCACTTAGGCCATCCTCCACTGCACTCCCTGGCCACAGCAGAGAGCTGACCTGGAAGAGGGGCAACTGGGACTAGTACTTGGTGTGCCGGCGCAGCAAGGCGGAGGATTAGCCTATTGAGCTGCGGCGCAAGCCCTTTCAATGCTTTCCTAGGCCATAGCAGAGAGCTGGATGGGAAGTGGGGCAGCCGGGTCCCAAACTGGAACCCGTATGGGATACTGGTGCTTCTGGCCAGGGTGTTAACCCGCTGCACCACAACGCTGGCCCCCATCCTTAAGCATCTTTTTTAGGGCTGGATGTGTGGTGACAAATTCTTTCAATTTCTCTTTGTTATGGAAAGTCTTTATTTCGCTTTCATTCATAAATTAGAGCGTTGCAGATTATAATATTCTGGGTTTGACAGGTTTTTTTTTTTTTCTCTTTAAGACGTGGACTATATCTTGCCATTCTCTCTTAGCCTGTAGGGTTTCTGATGTGAAGTCCACTGTGATTCTAATTGGAGACTCTGAAAGTAATCTGGCATTTCTCTCATGCACATTTTATAATCTTCTCTTTATGTTTTACTGTGGTGAGTTTGGTGTCGTGGCGTGGATCTTTTCTGGTCATGTCTATTGGGAGTTCTGTGTGCTTCCTGTACCTGCGTGTACCTTTCTTTCTCCAAACCTGGGAAGATTTCTGTTATTTCACTAAAAAGGCTTTCTTATCCTTTCTCTCTTTGTATGCCTTCAGAAACTCCTAGAATTCATATGTTGGATTCCCAACAGTTTTTTTTTTTCTAATTTCTTCTTCTTTGGTTTAACTGTATAATTTACTGTGCTTTATCTTCTAAGTTGGATATTCTTTCTTCTGATTCACCAATTCTGTTGGTAAGGCTCGCCACTGCATTTTTTGTTTGTTCTATTGAATTCTTCGTTTCATTTTGATTTCTTTTTAAGATCTCAATTTCATGGGAGAAATTTCCTTTCATGTCCTGTATGGATTTCAGCAGTTCATGCATTTGCTTCTGATTACTTCTGTGTAATCTTAGGATCAATTTTTTGAATTCCATTTCTTCCATTTCATCATCTTCAGCATCTGGTAGTGAAGTGTTGTGTTGTTGTAGGGGCATCATGTTGTCTTCCTTATTCTTGTTTCTTGGATTGGTGCACATATTGGTTGGCATTTATGGAGATACTCATTGGTTTCTTCATTTTTGTTTTGCTTTTACATTTGTACTAAGACTCTGTAGATAAGTGGAATGTCTGCTTTCAGTGAATATCTAGAAGTTTGTAGTGGGTATGGCCTGGGAGCTCTGTTCAGTTCTCCAGGGTTAAGGGCATGCCTAAGGTGACACAACCAGGTTTAGAGTGATAAATATTATCTCTCTCTTTCTTTATTTTTAATCCGAAGGGAAATTTATTCTGCTCAGATGAGCTTCTCTCATCAAAGGAGACAAGTGCCTGAGTGCCAGCCCTAGTGGGTATAATATTTGTTTGCTCTGTCCCAAAGGATCTTTGCAGTCCTCAGTGTAAGTTCAGATTATCCAGCATTGTCTCTCACCAGGTAACCAGGAAGCCCTAAGTATGTGGATTCTCCCACTGTGACTGCCCAAAGTCCCAGCCACACTGTGAGTCCTACACACACCCTTAGTTTTTACCACAGTCTGGGTATAGAAGCCTCACACAGTCATAAGCTCCTAGCTCCGTTAGTTCTCCTCACCAGAGTCAGGAGTCTCCACTTGGCTGGTTGATGGGCACAGACATGAGCTGGCACAGCTGTTATGTATGTTCAAAAAGGCGCCTGCTCTGTTGGCTTGTTACAAGATGCTGTTAAAAGGTGATCATGGAGAGAGAAATGTGTCCATTCCATCCTTTTTTTCTTTTCCTCTAGTTTGGCAGGTACACTCTTCCCCAGGGGGCTCCAAGCCAGGTTCCCTCTAGGCTCTTCTTGCAGCTTTTTCGGCTGCTGTTGTCTGGTCTCACCTCATTTTCCAATGCTGGTGCATAGGCTCTCGGCTGCTAGAGTCATGAGTTGTGTGTGTCCATGCCTTCCACATTGGTCTACCACGTCCCTCTGATTTCGGTAGAGTTTCTTCTGCTGTCTTCTCCCAAACTCTTCCTGAGACTACACTCTCTCCACTGTTTTTTTTTTTAATTTTATTGATTGATTTGAAAAGGATGAGGAGGAGAGAAAGAGATCTCCATCTGCTGGTTCACTCCTAAAGTGGTTGCAACAGCTGGGACCTGGCCAGGTTAAAGTCTCCACTGTTTTTAAACTATCTTCTGAACTAGAGCAGTAAGCTCCCTTTTTACTCTGCCATCTTGGAAGCTGCCCCCAATTCTTAATCATGTGAATAATCAAAAATTGGCATGAGGATTTTAATTTGTTTGACAAATTGTTTTTCTTTTCTTTATTTCAATGAAATATACAGAGGAAAATATAATGGAGATCATTTTGAAGTTATAATAAAGGCAAAATTTAAAGGAAGGATTGGGGAAATTTACTAGAAATTGAATAAATTGAAAACCTTTTAAAATATATCTGGAATTTATTTTTGTGAGAAGAAAATCAATTAGTCTTTCATCTTTGTTTTACAGGAAAAGTTATCAAAGTCTTGACCAGTTATCTGCAGAAGTTAGCCTTTCTCAGACTTCCCTTGATCCAGGCCAGTCACAAGAAGATGGAAAACAAGATGCATTAAACTTAATTGGTGAAGGTAAGAAGAACGCCTATTTAAAAGGTTTTGGTTGCAGAAATTGGCAGAGAATGACAGATTTCTTTGAAGCATGTTAGAAATTGACTATTATGATTAAAATGGTGTGCATTTTTTTTCTCGTGTGTTTGTGGTTAAGCTTCTCAAATGATCTTATTTATAACTGTTACCTTCATAGTCCCACTTCCTGTACATTTTTACCCATTCCAATTTGGTTTTTGTGCCTTTACTGCTGTATTAAAATGAGTTATCCAGGTGATAGTGATTAATCACAATAACAATGCTAATGTCAGTTCTTTTCTGTCCTCATCTTCTTATACTTCTTAGCAGCTCTTAACACAACAAATTGTTTCCTTATTCTTGAATCCTCTTTGGTACTTGGCTTTTTGAATCTTCTGAAAAAACTTCAGAAACAAGAATTGAAAAGTGTTTTACTTTTTCCTACTATTTCTTTCATATATATTTTATCAGCCTCTCTTCCCAGTGTGGTGCATCTTCTTGAACAGCATCTTTTTCTATTTTCATAACTTTTCAATTATGTGGTCATATTTCAGTTTCTTTTTTTTGAGATTTATTTATTTATTTGAGCTCTTCCATCCTCTAGTTCACTCCCCAAATGGCTGCAATGGCCAGAGTTGGGCTCATCTGAAGCCAGGAGCCAGGAGCTGCTTCTGGGTCTCCCACATGGGTGCAGGCATATTAGCAGGGAGGCAGCACACTTAAGGATAGAAATCGTACTCACCTTGTGCACTAGTAATGCCAGAGTCTCACAGAGTAGGCAACTATCAAGTATTTGTTGATAGAATAAATGTATAATGAATTTGTGTGATAGGATATGAAAAATAAAGTAAAATCCAGTTAATCGGAAGATGCCAGCATTGTGAACAGTGTTAAACCAAATCTTCTGCTTCTCTTACCTTTGTCATTGAAATGTTCTCGGATGGCCTTAGTAGGCAGTGAACAGTTTTCTGTTGAATTCACTGGTATCATCTAAAATATGTAATTTCAATCAGTAATCCATTAATCCATACTGTGCATGGATTTGCTGACTATGACTCATCTAAAAGGCACATTTATTTAGAATTTAAACCTAATTTCTAATTAGAGGGATTTTAATATCAATAGGAGAGGAATGCTAATAACATTCTGATTCTATGAAAACAAATATATTTTCTGAGAGTTCAAGGTTAAATAACAGATTAGCAGTTAAAATGTTCTATACTCATATACTTAATAAAATGAGTAAAAACAGGGAAAAAGCTAAAAACTAACTGACAGTAACCCAGCGAGGAAAGAGCTGTACGATAAATTTAAACGACTACAAGAACTGACCATGAGAGACATATATCCTTTATGATTAATTGGTTAAGATTTCTAAGAATTCCCAGGTCTAGTTTTAAAAAATTATGGAATTCTGGATAGCTGAGGTAGGTAGTAATGTAAATTTGAATCAACATATCATAAAAATATAGAGATAAGAAGAAACACAGCCGCATACAGTGCAAGCTTTTAGTCTAACTAGAAGACAGTAAATATATATCAGATTGCCTGTGAGTAGAGAAGTAAACACCAAGGTCATAGGGTGTCTCTCATGTTCCTGTAAGAAGCCATCATGTGCCAAAGGCATCCAGCAAAACTAAGCTTGCAAAGAAAGAAGTTGAGATATGAACCTAAATAGCTCAAAATTACCTCTAGAATGAGAAAGTCAACCCAAAGTGTAAAGATACGAAAAAGCACTTTCTGTAGGGATGCAGAGATGGTGCTAACAACTCAAACGCGGGGCCAGTGTTGTGGCCTAGAGGGTAAGCCGTCACCTGGGATGCCAGCATCCCATGTGGATGCCAGTTCCTGTCCTGGCTGCTCTTCTTCCTGCCCAGCTCCCTGCTAATGTGCCTGGGAAAGCTGCAGAGGATGGCCCAAGTATTTGGGCCCCTGAACTCACCTGGGAAATCTTGATGGAGCTCTTGGCTCCTGGCTTCAGCCTGGCCCAGCCCTGGCTGTTGCAGCCATTTGGGGAATGAACCAGTGGATTGAAGAGCTCTCTGTCTGTCCTTCTCTCTCTAACTCTTTCAGATTAATAAATCTTTTTTAAAAAAATATAGAAAATAGCAGAGAAAACACATATAGAAAAAGAAACATACTAAATATAACCATATATATCAAATTATAACAAAATTACAAATTATTTAGAATGGCTAAATATAAAAGCATAGACAAATTTATGTTAGGAGAATAAAAGCACAAAGAAAGGAGGGTAGCAAACCTAATACCACACAAGTGGAATTTCAGCTAACATTCTGAGCCAGGTGTTGTGTCATAGGATTAAGATAGTACTGGGGACACCTTGCCATATTGCAGTGCCTGCGTTGTGTCCTATCTAGCTTCCTGCTAATATGCACCCTGCAAGGGAGCAGGTGATGGCTTAAGTACTTAGGTGTGTAGACAGATTGGATTCCAGGCTTCTGGCGTCAGCCTAGCCCAGTCTAGTTTGTTGTAGGCATTTGGTATTGAACCAGTAGATGGAAGATCTTTCTCTCTCTCTCTCTCTATCACCTTGCCTTTCATATATTTTTTAAAATAAATAAAACTTATTAAAAATTTAAGACACTATTCATTAAACATTACAAGGAAGGACATGTGTTAATGCTGAAAGCCACAATTAAACTATAGCAAGATTTTGCACCAAATAATGGCATTCACCTTTATACAAGATATAAAGAGACACAGAAACCTAGAGACAATAGGAAATGCAACACACTATTATCAGTATGAAACAAATCAGCTCTACAAGAAGTAAAGAAAGATATAAAAGATCTAAACATAATCAGTAAAGGAGATCTCAAGAACATATGGGGGCCGGTGCTGTGGTGTAGTGGGCTGAGCCTCAGCCTGCTGTGCCAGCATCCCATATGGGCGCTGTTGGTGTCCCAGCTGCTCCTCTTCTGATGCAGCTCTCTGGTATGGTCTGCGAGGGCAGTAGAGGATGGTCCAAGTGCTTGGGCCCCTGCACCTGCGTGGGGGACTGTGAGGAAGCTCCTGGCTCCTGGCTTCAGATCAGCCCAGTACCGGCTGTTGTGGCCATTTGGGGAGTGAACCAGCAGATAGAAAACCTTTCTTTCTGTCTCTCCCTCTATCTGTAACTCTACCTGTCAGATAAATAAAATTTTTTTAAAAAACAAAGAATATATGGAACTTTATACTCTTTCTTCCTTTAAATTTTTTTTAAAACTTTGAACTGATAAAGATTGTATATGTGGGGTGCCAAAGGAAGTTTTGATACATATATACATTTTTTAATATCCAGTGAGAGTAAACTTGTCTTTCATTTAACATTTCTTAATGCTGAAAATATTCAAAATCCTTTTTTTAAGCAGAAAAATAGTCTATTATAATTATCTATAGTAACCCTACTGTGCAACAGAACACCAGAAATTCTTACTGCTATCTGATTATAACATAGTATCCATTAATAAACCTTTGCTCATTCTTCTCTCACCCCTAATCTTCCAGCCTCTGGTAACCACCATTATACTCAAACTTCAGTGAGACCAAGTTTGAGGTACTTGTCTTTCTGTGCTTGGTTTATTTAATTTAACACAGTGACCTCTGGTTTTATATATGTTGTCACAAATGACATGATTTCATGTTTTTATGGCTGAATAATATTCCACGGTATCTATATCTTATTCATTCATTGTTTTATGGAAACTTAGTGTGTTTCCATTCCTTGGCTATTGTACATAGTACTACAGTGAACATGGGTGTGAAACTGTATTTTTGACAGACTTGTCTTCATTTCCCTTGGATACATTCCCGGGATTGGGATTGTTGGGTCATAAGGTAGTTCTATTTCTAGTTTCTTGAGGAACTTTTATACTGTTTTCCACTACAATAGCTGTAGTAAGTTACCCATCAGCAGTGCACAGATGTTCCTTTTTTCCATGTCCTCACCGGCACTTGTTATCTTTGTCTTTAGTTAGGAGCCATTCTAACTAGAGTGATGTGGTATCTCACTGCAGTTTTGATTTGCATTTCCCTAATGATTAGTGATGTTCCGTGTTGTTTTTTTTTTTTTTTAAAAAAAAACATACCTGTTAGCAATTTGTGTTCCTTTGAGAGTGTGGGGAGCAAACCGGACTAGACTGAGTTACTGGAATTAAGACTTATTCTATGCATCTGCTCTCCCACAATATGGCACTGGGAGAGAAGTAAACAGCTTCCGCACAGCTGCCTCCAGTTCAACCAATAAACTGTAGGACTTGCTCCTGATTGGAGAGCAGCGTACTCGGCGTGTGGGCAGCCGAGTTAGGATTGGCGGAGGAGGACTATAAAGGAGGAGAGAGACGGCATGCACGAGGAACATCTAAGGGGAACATCTAAGGGGAACACCTGTGCAGCCCCCGAGAAAGCTGGCCGGCGGTGTGCCGCTCCCCTGCGGAAGTGGGGAATGTGGCCAGGGGGAACTGCCCTTCCACAGAGGTGGAAGGGATAGTAGCCAACCCGGGAAGAACCAGCAGCAAACCCGGGGAGGGCCGAGCAGACGAAAGAACAGCGCAGGGTCCTGTGTCGTTCCTCCACGAAGAGGGGGAGCGACATAATGGTGCCGTGACTCGGATAGGAAACTTAGGACGGATATGAAACTTAGGAGGGAAGAAACAGGAAGAACTGGGAAAATATCGGAGAGAGAGACTAGCAAACAGCCTAGGGAAAAGCCGGACGAAAAGGGTGCCGGAAGAAGCTATTGAAAGCCTAGGCATAGACTCAGATACGGACTACGGGGGGAAGCTGGGAGAAATCTCTAAGGTCGAAAGCGAAAGTGAAAGCTAGAACAAACAGACTCAGATGCGGACTGTGGGGAGAGGCCAGGAGAAATGAGGGAGGAGTATTGTTGGAAGAAAGCTTGGGGAAACATACCGGGTAGAGAAAAATGTTAGGGAAATTGAAGCCGTGGGGGGCAGGCCGAGGCGGAAACGAAAGCCACTTTGGGATTCTCAAGTTAGCCC